TGGGAGCGGTGAAGTCAATCACCTTCTCTTTGTTGACGACACTTTGTTATTTTGTGATGCATCTCATAGTCAGGTCCTTCGAGTCACTCTTGTTGTTTTCAACTGGTCACCGGTTTGAAGATCAATCTCGACAAGTCCATTATGATTACAATTGGGGATGTGTCCGAGCCCAGTTGTTTTGCTGATCTTTTCTGGTGCAAGTGGAGTAATGAACCACTTCTTTACATGGGATATCCTCTCGGCAGGAATTGTTCTAATGTTGCTTTCTGGACTCCTGTCATCAATAGATATAAAAAAAGACTTGATAGTTGGAAACCGATGTGATGACTCGATATTTGCACATGTTTTCCCCTTTGTTTTTTGATCGTTTAAGCTTGCATTATCTCTTCTTTGGCCTATTTTACGCTAGGTTGTGTTCCTTTGTCACATTTCAGGCCCTAGCACATAAAGTGAAGAATAGGCGCAAGTTTCAAGTCAATCGGAGATCATTTGGCAATTCGGGAGAAGAAACACGAGCATGACCTGAGGAATAATGGATTTCTACCTCATATTATGAACAAATTTTCATGGAAGTTTGTTATGACAAGAAAGAGGACGAGACTACGAGCGTCTGGGTTCAAACGGCGACTTATTTGGAGTCCGGACGAGGGAGAAACGAAGCTTTGAACAGGAGTGGAGGAAGAATTACGGGCAGGAGAATTACGACCGTATTTTCCCCTCCCATGCCCGTATTTTCACTGCCGTGAGGAGCTTTGGTTGCGCTGAAACTTAACCAAAACGCGTGTTTTGGGCAAAATACGGGCATGGAAGAATTACGACCGTAATTCAGCCCGTAATTCGCCCAGAATCGGGTTTTTAGGCAGATTTGAGCCAAAAGAGAAGGGGATTCGAGTTTTAGAGAGACAGAGCGATTCCTAGAGAGAGAAAGCGACGAACAAGAGTTCCCAAGTGCCCTAGCTTGATCTTCATCACCATTGGAGCTTGGCTTGAGCTTGGAGAAGTGCCGATTGACAACCAGGAGCTGAAACTCATCCTTCACAGTATGATTTCCGCGTCTGAATCTGCTTTTGCTTCTTTCTCCATGGAGTAGTTCTCCCATTGATCTGGGTATGTGAAACCCTAGATTTGTATGTTAGGTTTGATTGTATGAACCCAAGTACTGATTCTATGATTTGATTATATTCAATTGAGGTTTGAATGATTGAATGGCTTGAATCCTGATCAAATTCCTGTTGTTTCTGCTTTAACCTAGAATGAGAATATCTACCTAGGTTGATAGAGCATCCTTGATTGAAGGTAGGGAGTTGGTGACTTTAGTCGAGGAGCCAACTCACTATTCTGTACCGAATTCACTTCGGTAGTGGAGGTTTTGTTCGTTAGGGCCTCAATCTGTTTACTCCGGTGGAGGTTAGTCGCCCGCTAGAGACTCAGATTGAGAGGGTCTGGAGACCTTTAGTCGAGACTACAGACTGCTTTAGAACCTTCCGCAGTATAACTATCATAGAAATTGAACTTGGTAATTGCAATCCGGCTTAACTGCAGTCTAGGGGGAACCATATCCGGGTGGCCTCTCTTAACCTGAAAACAACCGTTTAGTTGCTTTGCTTGTTTGTTAGTTTAGACTTGCATTAAAGTTTCATTGCTAGATAACAAGAATTCACCGAGTAGTCATCAAATCTAGGACCCGGGTTGACATTAAAACTCAAACCCGCTATACTACGCTTTAGGAAGTGGTTACACTTGGCCAATTTCTAGAGTGACAGTAGGAGTGAGTCACGATGCATCTTTCGTATGTCGTTAGACTCACTCTCAACAAAGTTGTCCTCTCCAGCTTACCTGTGCACTACTTCACCTTATTTAAGGGCCCGCGCTCGATCACATCAGATATGGAGAGAATTACGAGAAGATTTATGTGGAACGGAACGGGTGATGGCAGCAAAACACCCCTCGTTAGGTGGGATATCTGTAAGGCGTCCAAAATCAATGGAGGGCTGGGGTTATTCGATTTGGAGAGCTTCAACAAGCCCCTTTTGGCCAAATTGCTCTGGCGTTACATTACAGAAGCAAACAACTGGTGGTGCTCCCTCATTGCGTGCAAATATAAGCATAAACACTCAACATGGATCACGTCTACTGTCAAGATTGGATATGGCAGATCACCTTGTGCAGGCATATATAAGGAATACAGCTCCTTTTCGAAATATGCTTACATTGAACCGGGAAGCGGCAACAATATTTCTTTCTGGTATGACTGTTGGGCACCTGGAATCATCCTCGCCAACTTCCCGCACGTTGCTGCTGCTGCTATGGACCCTGATGCATCTATCGCTGACATTGCTTCTTTCTCTGGTGAGTCCACGCAGTGGGATTCCGATCTTAATATCGATTTGAGGGGTGGGGCTATGAGAGGAAAAAAATATATGCTTGCTTTATCTTGATTCCCTTAGCTTTGTTAACAATGACTTCAGCCCTTGCAGACCTGTCTGGGTGCCAAACTCGAATTCGTGTTTTTCTCTGTCTTCCGTGTACTGGTGTCTCATTGATGATTCATTCCCGGGAATTTCTTCCTTCCCATTTGCTGCTGTATGGAAAAGCATCATCCCCTCGAAAATCTGTTTCTTTCTCTGGACCTTATTCCACAAGAAAATTCCGACTCTCGATAGCTTGAAGAGGAGGGGTTGGGAATTCGCAAATCGGTGTGAACTTTGCAAACAAAAGGAAGAGACTTTGGATCATCTTTTCATTGACTGGGACTTCTCTAAATCTGTATGGAACTCAATTCGCAAAAGATGTGGTCGTCTACAGCAACCACGACAAGGAATTGATGACACCATCCGAAGCTGTTCTTCCGCCATCCCTGACGACGTTGCAGGGTGGTTCTACCATTGCAGCCTACACGCCATTTGTTGGTCTCTATGGGTTGCACGCAACCGGCACATATTCCAAGGTGTATCCACTCCCAGTACCGTCATTGTTCGTCGGATTTTCCAATTTGTCACTGAATGGATTGTAGTCCATGGAAAGGCTGACAAGCGCGCTTGCGCTATTTGGCCGGAGGGGAACTTTGTTTGATGCTGTCATCCTCGTGTCCGTCATGCATTGTTGGTTTGTCACCTCAGGATTCTGTTGTGTTTTTGTGCTGGTGACGGTTGCGCCTCGATCCGTGCGGTTCCTTGGCGCTTGACTTCTCTTTGTCGAGTTTCTTGTTGTTGCCTTTGACCCTCCTCTTTACATCTCCTACATCTTGATTCCTATTTCTTTGTTCCTTAGCTGCTGTTTTGGCATGCCTGTTTTTTCTCCTGCAGGTTCAGTTCTGCTGAACCTAGGACTCTTTGTACTTTGTTAATTTGTTTAATTTAATTATCAACTTCATCAAACAACAAGTACTTTATTCTCCCTGACCTTTTTCCTTTTCTTAATTTGTCTCTCAGGGAACAGCTATTGGAAATGAAACTGTAGGTCACAACATCCTTCACAACTATAGCTTACCAACTGATGATGACTCGTACTGGTTTGGAGTTGGTGTTTTGTTTCTCTATGCATTGTTTTTTAATATCAATGCAACAATTGCTCTAGCGTTTCTTCACCGTAAGTGTAGGAGTGGTTACCAATTGAAACCTTTCATGTACATAAGCCATACCCAATCTGTTATATTAGTACTTATAGCCTTGCCTACTTTATTCGCTCACCACAACTATTGAAAAGATCTCAAGCTATTGCCCCTTGATGCTGAAGAAGAAATCAACAGAAAGAGAGGTAAGTGTGAATTACCACCAAGTCTATATTCATCATGATTACGACGTCCATTTTCCTGGTTTCTTACTATGCACATTTCTGATTAATGGTCGGTGGAAGATGAAGATACTTCCTCTATTTGGCAGTGGGTACGCATGAGGAATCAGGTGAAACATCTGAGTGAGGAAATGGAAGGAAAGGGATGATTCTTCTATTTCAACCATTAGTGCTGACTTTCAACGATCTAAGCTACTTTGTCGATATGCCTAAGGTACAAATGTTTTTTTCTCTCTCAAGTCTTTCGTTGATAGTCATTTATTTTGGATGCTTAGATAATGCGCCAACAAGGAGAACTAGAAATGCGATTGCAGCTCTTGACAAATGTGAGGGTAGTATTCTCACCCGGGGTTCTAACTGCATTAGTTGGTTCTAGTGGAGCTGGAAAAACTACCCTGATGGATATGCTTGTCGGATGAAAACTGGAGGATATATATGTATATCCAGGACATCCTAAAGTGCAGAGCACATTTGCTAGGATTTCAGGGTATGTTGAACAAAACAATATACATTCTCCTCAAGTCACAGTTGAGGAGTCTTTATGGTTTTCTTAAAGCCTACGGCTCCCTAATTAAGGAAGTGATATGTGAGTTTCTTGCTTAGTACTTGACAATGGACCAAATCAATACTCTTGCATAAATTGTTTTATCATATACACCAATTTAGGAATTTGTTGAAGAAGCAATGAAACTAGTAGAGCTTGATACACATTAAGACAAGCTTTGGTTGGTATGCATGACATTTCTGGTTTGTCAACAAAGGAACAGGTTAACCATTGCTGTGGAGCTTGTAGCGAATCCTTCCATTATATTTATGGTTGAACCTACATCTGGGCTAGATGCGAGAGTTGCAGCCAATGTTTTTACCGGTTCATCTCTGATTAGCCTCTAAACTGTGAAGCTTTCTCTAATTTTGGTCGAAGTCTGATCCGATTTTGACAATATTGTTGTTTCCTAGACAATAGTTGTCGACCCCACTCTCATGATTTTGAAGAATGCCTCTTAGTCTTGGATATAGAAATTGTCTAGCCAATGGTTGACAACATTGCTATTTCCTAGCCCATAGCAGCAATATCATCTTTGGGCTTTTCAAACCACTAGCTTAACCAGGTGTGTTGGCCGCAATATTTTTAATTTTATAATATAAAAAGTTACTCAAACATAGATTACTACTTAATAGTATACATAAGTATTATGATGTCTTTCCAACCAATATAAGTATAGTAGAAGACTGGGTAATGCCCAAGTGAATATATAGAAGCTTAATTCTACAACTGTAATTTGGCTGGTTTCTCTTTATCTAAACTTAAATACTAACTAAAGTGAAATACTTAATTAACAAAGCTCAAAATCATGCAAGTGAAGCCCTAAACGCATCATTGAAAACTGTTATTCGATTAGCCACTTATCAAAGGGAGCGGATATGGTAACAATAACATATTTGTTGTTATTGTAACAACACTAGTCTCCAACCAATATGAAGTTAGGGTTGTGATGACTTTTTATTACCTTAGTTGACCTAGTGTAAAATCAAAATAGGGGTATAATTGTCATTATGAAAAAATATGTTTAAATAATAATAAAATATTTTTTGTATTTTCTGCACAAAATTTTGGTCACTAGAATTCTGCCACTGGTCGCCGGTCACCGGAATATGCTATTTGTCGTTGGAATATGCTTACCGGCGTCAGAATCTAGTCATCGGGGCCAAAATATGCCTATCGGCGTCGGAATCTGCTCACTGACGGTCATCGGAGTTTGGTTAACGAACTTCGTTGACCGGTCAACGACCACCGGATGTTATGGTCTGCATTGTGAGATTTATGATTTGGTTTCTCATATTTTTGTACGCCTTTTGTGGTTTGCTTTATCGGGTTTGTGGTTTGCATTGAGAAGTTTCTGGTTTGCTTTCAAAATTTTGTGGTTTGCGTTGAGGGGCTTCTAGTTTGTTTTTAATATATTTGTGGTATGCATTAGGACGTTTCAGGTTTGCTTTTTTGTGGTTTGATTTACTGTATTTGTGGTTTGCAATAGAAGGTTTCTGGTGTGCTTTTGCAAATGTTGTGGTTTGCTTTGTGAGGTATGTGGTTTGTTTTAGGAGATTTGTGGTATGCATTAAGAGGTTTCTGGTTTGCATTAAGAAGTTTCTGGTGTGCTTTCGAAACTTTTGTGGTTTGCTTTGCGAGGTTTCTGGTTTGTTTTAATATATTTGTGGTCTGCATTATGACGTTTTTGGTTTTTTTTTTTTTTTGCTGTGGTTTGCTTTAGCGTGTTTGTGGTTTGCATTACGAGGTTTCTGGTGTGCTTTTTGAAATATTTGCGGTTTGCTTTGTGAGATTTTTGGTTTGTTTTAGGGGATTTGTGGTATGCATTGGGAGGTTTCTGGTATGCTTTTTTTTTTTTTTACAGTGTTTGTGGTTTGTATTATGAAGTTTCTAGTGTGCTTTAGAAATATTTCTGATTTGTTTTGTGGTGTTTCTGGTATGTTATAGGCAATTAATGGTCTGCATTAGGAGGTTTCTTATATGCTTTCGAAATAATTGTGGTATGCTTTATGATATTTCTGGTATGCTTGTTTGATTTTTGCATGAGTGACATTTGTTTGTAAGGGTAAAGATGTCACAAACCTTCTTGTGTGGAAGAAATTGCATTATAGTTTCCTTTAAACCAGCCGCCAATCGCCATCCTACTCTATAGCAATTAGCAAATACTAATACAAGTGATAAGAATGAAAATAGGTGTCACAAAGTTCTTCTCCATTTTTAATATTCAACTTTCCCCAAGTCCCAACGAAGTTCTTGCTCCATCCAATGAACAACAAAAAATTTTCCCTTATCTACTCTCGTTCGCTACGTGGCGGAGAGCTAGTACAGGTATCTTAAACTTCTGACACTTGTCCATAATGCAGACACGTGGCACTAACCCAACAAGCCAGACACTTTTCCCCAACCTTTTGTATATAAAGGCTAGGGGTGTTCAAATGGTTACCGTGGTAATAATCAAACCAATTAAGCCAAAATTTCATTAACCATGGAATAAAATGTTTTAACCAAACCGTCCAAATTAACACGAAAACCAAATTAACCAAATCAAAGTTTAATTGGTTTGGTTAATTGGATAATCGGATTAACCAAATAACATAACATTACATGAAAATAATTATCCTGTTAATGCATAAAACATAACCATATGTTATAACTATCATAGACTATCATTATATATAAGCAATAATAATAAGACTAATCATCCATGATCATCATCATTAATCGAGTTAATACATCATTCATCATCTATGCACCTAATATAGTTAGCTTACAACAAACCCTTAACATAAATATTAAATACATACCAATACCACTCCTTAGGAAATTAAAGCTCTCCTACAAAACACTTAAACTATACATAGTTTGAGGTAGTTGTCATGGTACTATACGTAATCCTAAAGTCTAGTAGCTATCCAAAATGTTTTGGTTTAGTAAAGAGGCAGGCCAATTTAATTTTTGACCCATAATGCTTTGGTTTGTTGTGCAAATGGAAATAAAATAGGGAATCACGAAAGTTTGGTTTGGTTGGTTGCATGAAAGTATAAATAATTTTATATATTACGTGTATCATTAATTGGTTAATTGGTTTCATTGGTTAGCAGTGTTGAAACCGAACCAAACCATCTAAACCAAATAAATTAAATTGTTTAACCAAACCAAACCAAACCAATTATCCAATTTAACCAAACCAAATTAACCGAATGCTACTGGTTAATATGGTTACCATGGTAACCAATCCGTTTGAATACCCCTAATAAAGGCAGGATATATCGAGTTGTTTTGAGCGATCAAAGTTCACAGCACACCAATACCAAAACCAAATCAAACACAAACACATACACATAAATTTTCATTAAAAGTAAATTCGAAACAGACTTTGAAGGAAAGATGCAGTCCATGAAGGAAACCGCTTCCAACATTGGGGCCTCTGCCAAGGGTGGCATGGAGAAGACCAAAGCCACCGTCCAAGAGAAGGTAATAGTTAATTAACTGTATATATGATTGTTCTCTGTTGTGGCATTTCGTCGAACACATGGTGTGTAATTATGATTTGCTCGGGGTCTCTTTCGAACAGATCGAGAAGGCTTCAGCACACGACCCGGTGCAGAAAGAGATGGCGAGGGAGAAGAAAGAAGAGAGGGTCGCAGACTCTTCATCAGCTTTGGTCGACTGGGAAGAAGAAGGAGAGCCCCGCCTGCGAGTGGCGACCCGGAAGAAGCAGAGCGTCGCCTGCGAGTGGTGATCGGGAAGAAGGAAACCAGTGCAGACTCTGGTCCGAGTCCGACTACGATTTTGATGTCATCATCGCCGTTTTCGACACCAGCGTCTAGCCCGACCGTCGGAGAGAGGATGGCGCCGGAGTAGAGAGACAACAGTTGATTTCGATTCGGAATGAGATTTACAGTCGGAGAGAGTGAACAGATTTGAGAAACTGAACGCGATTACGGATCGAGATGAGGCATCTATGTAACAGAAGGAGAGCGAGGAGTAAGGCTGACGGTGGTGGCAGTAATGAGCAGCACCGTCGATCGGAGGTCGGAAGGAGATAAGAATGGAGGAGAGAAAATGAAATCGAACTAGATCTGAATGGAAGAGAGAATGAGACAGATGAGAGACTAGAGAGAATGAAAAGTGATGAATGAGAAGTTTGACCGGAATTCAAATTTTTGTCCATAATTATCTTTCTGTTAATTTAATATTATTATTATCTAATAATTAATGGTGTTTTATCTTTATACCCTTAATGAAGTCTGTTGTTAGTAGCAACACTAACGGATCGTTGGGTACCAAATGAATTGAGAATTCATTTCATTTTAAAATGAATTACTGTGTAGAATTTATTGTCAAATGAATTCTTGTGTTTGGTAGTCATATTCAATCTTTATAAATAAATGAATTGAATTCCGAAACCATGTTTGGTATATGTTTAGAATTGAATTAAATTAAAAGTTTCTCCAACTACACCCTTATTAATTTTCGGAAAAAACAATATTCATTGAAAATTCATCTTCTGAAAAACGTCTTTGGTCCTGTACGTAGAATATCAAAAGTGTTCTTGTGTGTTTATATTCTATTAGTTAGTTCTTTTCTAATATTTCGTTAATGAATCCTACAATCTAGTTGTGTCTTCTCAAAGTTTTGATACAATCGAAGCAAAAAATAAAATAACTAGCATATGCTACTAGCGTTGCAATCAAATTCTTGGTGACGTTTCTCAAACTGCATCAATTGGCGCCAAATAATATATGTAGAAGTAATTTTGTTAATAAATGAGGATAATTATGTCATTCTATTATAATTAGTAAATACTTGTGGAATTCATTTGCAAATTACATCTCAATTCCTCGGAATTGCTATAACTAATTCCAATTCCGTAGAGTTCAAAATTTAGAATTGCAAATGAATTCTTTTAAATACCAAACACAAAAAGATTTAATTTCGAAATGAATTTCTCAAAACTTATGGAATTCATTTATACCAAACGGTATGTAAGGGTGTTGTTATTGTATCCGAACCCCTTATCAAACGTGAAGATGTCTCGATTTGAAACTATTTTATAGCTCCTTGATGGGCTAATATTCAAAGGCTGAAAACAATAACTGAAGTAAAACTAAGTTCGTAACCCAAAACCAATTTGGAAAAGCAAGATTGACATAGAACATTATTTTGCGTCTATAATTAATTAAGGGGAAATCACCTACGACTGAGAATGGACGGAAACGACGGAAACGACGGAGAATGGACGACGACTAGCTATCCTCTGCCAAACAACGGACGGAGAATGGAGGCGGACCGAACGACTTGCTGTTGTCCTTTGCCGACGGACCGAACAACGACCAAGCTGTCCTCTGCAAACGTCGTCGGCTAGCACTCACGATTGGGACGGAGAAGGGAGGCGGACCGAACAACGGACGACAGCCGGAGAAGTTGGGGAGAAGGAAGGCGGACCGAGCAGTTGGGACGACAGGTGGAGAGAGTCGGGGGAGACGGACGGGTTTTTGAAACAGACGACAGCAATGGGTTAGGGTTTTTGAAAAAAATACGCATGTTTTAATTTAATTGTATTCTCCTTAATACCCCTAACAACTTTTTAACTAATAACTCCCTACTAACTACCTAATCTAGAATTAGCCAATCAGAAGGCTTTAAGTTCCTTCTTAAAAAAAAGGCCTTAAGGACCTGAACTTAGGCCGTCCATTCTTCGTTCCGCCTCCATTCTTCGTCGGCGGCAGCAGCCTTCGCAAAGCACAGCAGCCGGCGGCGTGATCTCGTTTCAACTCTCAGTCTTTCGTCGGCGCCGTTTAAAGGTATATTTTCGTATTCAATTTTTTTGCCGGTATTTTGTGGTTTTTTGCGTTGCATGGGATTAGGGTTTTGGCGTTGCATGAGAGGAGAGAGCGTTTGTAGAGTTTTTTCATCCCATTGTTAATTAATAAATATGTGCAGAGTTTTTGGTTTCTGTTATAAATTTATTTTGTGGACGTTTGCAGAGTTTTTTCATCCCATTGTTAATCAACATGTTATTAATAATTTTGTGGACGTTTGCAGAGTTTTTTCATCCCATTGTTAATCAACATGTTATTAATAATTTTGTGGACGTTTGCAGAGTTTTTTCATCCCATTGTTAATCAACATGTTATTAATAATTTTGTGGACGTTTGCAGAGTTTTTTCATCCCATTTTTAATCAACATGTTCTCGTTCTCAACCTTTTTGCATCTTTTATTAATCATTCCGTGGGCATTTGGAAACCGTGTTGTTATTATATTATTAATGAATACGTGCTCGTTTTCAATTTTTTTGCTCTCTATTATTAATGAATACGTGCTCGTTTTCAATTTTTTTGCTCTCTACTATTAATCTATCTGTCATGCAAGTCAATTATTAATGCTTTCGGTGCTTACAGTACTAATGCTTTGCATTATTAATGATTTATGGGCAATTATTGACGAAGCACAATATAGTTAGAAATATTAACACACAATATTAATAACAAGATTATTAATCTTTTCATCTTCATTATTAACATATTTACCTACAGTATTAATGATTGTATGGCCAATTACTAATACACAAAAGTCATTTCTTATGTGATAGTCATTTCTCATAATAGATTGGATTTTGTATTAATGATTATTAACTTTTTTGTTACCATTATTAACCTTTTATATTTAAGTCATCAACGGTTCTGCTACCATTATGGAAGTTTAATTATTAATACTTCAGTTACCAATTCAAAATTTTTAACTGTCATGTTATTAAAGTTTTTGTTATCATTATTAACATTTTCCTCGCTCATTCAAATTGCAATGAGTTTCCTTTACTAATGTTTGTTTGACTGAATCACAGGTGCACTATGTCACAAGTGTCGAAGATCTTGAAGATCTATATTGTGATTCATGATCACTGAGAACGATATACAAAGCAATATCAATTGATTGCAAAATGTTAACAATGTCATTGGAAGTCATTGGAAGATGCCATGACTAGATAGTTATAAACATGAGATGAAAATGTGAATCATTGGTAAAAAACTAAAAATATTGTAAATCAATAATATTGCACTACTCAAACTTTTAGTGGCAATGTTATATGACTTTAATGATTCATTCACAAGCATTGATGACAAAAATGTAAAACAGTAATAATTGATCCAAAATTGTTAATAATGTAATTGTAAAAAAATGATAAGTATATTGAAAATATTAATAATGATTAGGTATAGTAATAATTATTTATTTCATAAATGTTGATAATGTCATTGCAAAACGTTAATACTACATTGCAAGTTGTCTCAAAATGAGAGAGAGCATGTATTTTTAATTTCATAAAAGTTAATAATATCATTGTAAAACGTTAATACTACATTGCAAGTTGTCTCAAAGTGAGAGAGAGCGGGTATTTTTAATTTTCATTTTAAGAAAGAAAAAACATTAAGTCCGAATTTATTAAATATTAAATAATAATATTTAATTTAGTTAATTCTGAATTTCCTTTTAATGATAGTGACGAGAGAGGGTAATAAGAAGGTTACGGAGGAGAGAGATATAAAATCATTAATTATTAGTATTAATTATATTTGCATAATACCCCATTTACCCTCAACTAACAATTAAATACTAATCACTATTAACTACCTAATCTACTATTAGCCAATGAGAATGACTTAAGAAGATGCTTAAACTTATAGGCTTAAGCACCGGATCCAACCCGCCTACAGAATAAGAAAAACATACTGAACTTTTCTCAATAAGTATTCTTTAGGACTCCTTAATTTAATACATGGTTATGAGTCAGTTATGCATGCACATTTTTGTGTATAAATGTTATGCACCTAATCTAGAATCTAGGTGATTGACTTTTAGATGCAAAACTCCAGTGCACTTTTCTTTTATTTCAAATCCATTTTCAAAACATAGGAATAGAGCAAACAAGTTATTATCATGAAGGTCCGAACAACGTTGATCCTGCAGTAAAAGCAGACAATGACATGAAATAACCAAGCACCAAACAACATTTGTTATGATCAATCATCTAACCGCGGGCTAAGAACTTACGAAATTACTTCATACCACGTAACTGAGAGGGAGGTTGTAAGCTATAGCAATCATTTGAAAATAGAAATCGATCAAGTATAAGAATACAATTTGAGAATAGAATTTAGTAGAATTGTCAAAGAGTAAGGGGTGAAACCGTTCTATCCAAGCATATATCATCGGTTATATATGACTAAATACCTTTGTTTTCAGAACCTGATCAGATGCTGAACTGAAAAAGTTAGTGGTTTAAGGTTTAGTGGTTAATCATTACAAAATCGTTGGTGAACCGTTCATGATATATATATCATATAAGACTTTTATATTATACTAATTTAAGAATGAAGTTATGATTGATCATAAACAATTTCAAATTCATATCATCACCAAAATATCTAATAAATCATTCAATCCATCATATATTTTTAATTCAAATTAAAAATTACGAAGCCAGTCGATAGTGGACAATGTAAAGTTGACAACAAGATGGAACTGAGAAGAAAAAGCATATAAAATTAATAGTTAAGATTTGTTGGTCTTAGTTTGTGTTAAAGTAATTTTTGTTGTTAAAATAGTGAATCAGTGGACCAGTCAAACCGTGAAAAACCATTTGGGCAATCAATAACCATCAAAACAATAAACCGAACCGCTATTGTAACTGATTTGACGGTTCTACTGGCTCGGCCTTTAATCCAGTTTGAATCTTATAACAATGCTAAATACAAGGATGAGACGCTTCCTTCATCTTTTTTCCAGCAAAAAACAGAAGTAAGCATACATCCATGAATTAAGCAGTTACATGGATGGAGGATGGGGAGCTACGAGAAGAGCTTCTAGAACGCTAACTGGTAAAAGGCAGACCATATATATTGAAATTCAAAACAAGAAAGAAAGAAAATTGATAGAATAAGAACTGAATGCATATATATATTGATAAATAGGCTGTGCCTGTCTACAAGAGCAGCTGATAGTAGTCCGCGGCTGTGAAGGTATATAAAGGTTGCATGTTGTGAGGGAAGCAGTGTTTGTAGAGACTATGGCACAAGATATTGCAGTCATAGCCACGACTTGAGGATTCTCTATTAGAGGCAGCTGCTGCTGCATCTTTCGGCTTTTCGAATAATTCAAACTTGCAGGCCAAGATGTGATCCTTAAATTCAACATCATCTTGGAAACACAGGAATAAAGCAAACAACTTATCATCATGAGGGTCCAAAGCCATCACCCATCCCTTGCCTCCTTCATACCCTGAGTAGTTGGTGGTAAGAAGATGTTCAAGCTTCTCTAGGGACGGGACAAACTCGTGGAGACTTGCAGGACGCTGAGCCATGTTTCCCGGGTGATTTAGCCCTGCCAAATCCTTCAAACTGATCGCCCCAATGAAAATCTTCTTGGCCTTCTTATTAGGATCCTCGAATTGAGGATCAACTACCACCGAAAACAACACATCATTGACTATATGGTTGAAAGAGTACCAGTACCCATAGATTGGATTCAACGCACGCGGTAAAGGTGCTACGGCCACATTACGATCACTAGTATAACAATACCCGTTGGGATCACGACAGATGCTCCACTTGCGAGTGATCATGTTGAGAACGTAGAGTCGTGACTTGAAACCCCAAGGGCCAGCCATCATATGAACGTAGACTTCATTCCCCAACACCACGTGACCCGAGGAGATGGGGCTAAAACCAAAACAAGTGCCGTAAGTATCGTCCCAAGGGGTCCTAATACCTTCCAGGCGATAAGCACCACCGTCCGGGAGATGTAAAATCTCACAATAAGGAAGCTTAGGACGATCAACATAGCCTTCCGGCTGACGGACGCCCGTGGAGATGATGATGATCTCCTTGTTCTTGAAAGGAATAACAATAGGGGCTGTCTTAGGTGCCAGCAACTTCCCTGCCTTCTTAAATTCGTTCGGCTTCGCCTTGCACTCGAGGTCGCAGGTGAAGAAATCTAGAGAATCTAATCCTGGGATACGACCAAAAGCATACAGTTTCTGTTTTACCAAAGCGAAACCCATACCATACGTCCATCTTTCGTTGAGGTGGGCGCCGGTGTCGGCCAATTGGCCATCGTCCTTGTCGATGTTCATCTGATACAACGACGCACCATCAAACTTAATAGAGAACAGCACCGCAGCATCCCACCCGTGCTCCTCCTCCTTCTGCGTGGAAGCTTCTGTCATTATTATGTATATTCGCTGCGAGACAATTAGGGTTTGATGTCCTGGATGAAATTATTAAGATAGAATCTACACTTGTCAAAGGTTGACTTAATATCTCACTTATTTACTGCAATGCAATCCAATTGGGTAAATGGCACAGTTGGTCACTGAGATTACTAAATCGTGTCATGTTTAGTCACCAGAAAAATTTAATATCAATTTTAGTCACTCGACTTACTGAAACATGTCACATTTAGCCACTCTCTCGTTAGTTTCCGTCAAACTCCATTAATAGAGTTGGACGGAGGCTAACGGGAGTAGGGGTGGCTATTTTGACCGGGACCAGATTAAAAACCGGAAACCGGACCGTATAACCCGGACCGAGACCGGACCGGGACCGGATGGTAAACAATCCAATCCAATCTTTGGGCTTAGATTTGAGGTAAAAAAACCGGATAAAGACCAGATAAGTGAGCTCAACACCCAAAACTTAAGGGTTATTTGCATAAACGGTCACAAACCTTTGCACTTAGTACAAAACTTAACCAACTCCTCACCCTTTAAGGCCTTAGGCCACTAAAATCCCACAATCTCAATGTAAAATCAAGACCGAATTGGGACCGGAACGGATCAAGACCGGACTGTATCCAATCCAATCTTCGGTCCTTATATTTTCAAAAAGACCGGACTGGACCGGATCAATTTGGGCCAATTTAATCGGACCGGACCGTATAGCCACCCCTAAACGGGAGAGTGGCTAAATGTGACATGTTTCAGTAATTCGAGTGACTAAATGTGACATGTTTCAGTAATTCGAGTGACCGGAGTTGGATGAATGCTAACGGGAGAGTGACTAAATGTGACCTAATTCAGTAATTCAAGTGACCAAAATGGTTATTAAATATTTCTAGTGACTAAACATGACACGAATTAGTAATCTCAGTGATCAAATGTGGCATTTACCACAATTATATTGTTAGGAGAAACATAAATCATGAAACTAAGTTAGTAATTTATATCCAACCAATTTTTTTTTTTTATAATCTAAATGTTGATGACTTACCTCAAGTGGATCATGCAATAAGCTGACAAAAATACTTAGCTTGAGGGTTCATCAAGTTAAATTGAGTAAGTTCTAACATGCAATTTCAGTTTCATGTTAACAATTTAGCAATGGGAATTTAGGATATAAAATAGGTGTTAAGCCATTATCCCCCTCTCTCAATTACCATAATTCAAGTTATCCCCTCGTTAAGATTCGTAGCTCCACCACAGTTTATACATACAACCATTATAAAGTTAATCTATCTATCTTCTATAGAATCCTCCATTAATATATGGTAGAGTTTTGTGTACTTTTCTCCATTTCAAATTTCTTGCAACGAGAGTGAAAGTAGGAAGGTCATTTTTGTCTTTACACATTTATTATTTATTTCATATAAAAATAGCAATATCAAGATTTGAACCCGGGTCTCTTCAAACAAAGATAACAAGCAGAACCAGTTACACTAAACAAATTTATTGCATCCTTTTCTATACAAAAAAATAGACAAAGTTAATCTCTGAAAATTAGAGGACTTTTTCATCATAATTAGCAAGCTCACTAAGTCTACCGTATGTATTTTTATCGAGCTTGATACTTCTATTTTCATAGTAGATTTTCATGTAATTTTCTCAATTTTAAATTCCCGCTCTCTCCTTAATTTTTGCTAAAGGTAAATGGGTAATTGGCCAACATGGAAGAAACTAATTATGTAACTACTGTTGTATCCTCGCATTTTTCAATTTAAATTTAAATTTTGTGTTTTTTTATCTTTGTTCTTTTCTCTTTCTAACTTCCTCCGAAATTTCATCCATCGTGCAATAGTTTGCGCCTTTCACTTCCCAGTACAAGACTGTTATTGAAAATCAATCTTCAGGTATCTCTTGGCACTACGGTTTTATTGTTGGGGATTTTAAGCTGGGCGAGTAGAAGATTTCAACTCCGATATCAATTCATGGCGAATAGAATGGAGTTCATCAATAACTGAAGTCGTAGAAGAAAGATTAGAAATTGAATTTTTGGTTGAATATATGCCTCTTGAGATAGAAATTTGGTTGTACAACGGAGAGTGGTGGCTATTGGATCTTTAGGTTTATGGTTTTTGCAACTGTCATAACCTATTTCTATCTTAAAACGAGGAATCATTGATTGATTGTTTGAATTCTTTATTCAACCTACTGGAACTAATAGATAAGGAGTGTCTAATTTTGCGCGTTATTACTTTGATCGAGTCTATTCGTATATTGGAGATAACCCTGATTTTTTCGTTTGCTCTCAAGTTGTGATGGTCCCCTCTTAGCTGAGTTTTTAGTATATAGATGACTTGAATCAACAACTCTCTATTTCTTTTTGATTAGTGACATATTGTTTCTAAAAGGAGAGCATTGAACCCTTTATATAGGATTGTGAGGTTTAAGATTTAGTTTCAAACTATCTATGGGTTGTGTGAGAATTTCAGTGAGCTTTTATACTCTATATTTCTTGATTGTCAAAGAAAACTAACCAATAGCATTTTAACAGGGACTTAATTAGCATTATGAAAATGGGCTCAATGATACATTGTTATATTTTATATTCTTAAATGATTATGATATTTCTCCGAATGTTCGACCTATATATTATTTCTTTATGTATCATCTCGATCGAATAATTATCAATAAAATTAAACGGGTTAATAGACTTAAAAGTAACATAAAAATACAAATAATCAAATATGAGCATTCCGGCCAAAGGGCCGGGTTATAAGCTAGTATATAAAAGCCTTTTTTCAAAAACACCTCCTCCATTTCAAATTTCCGGGACTCCCCGTAATTTTCTGGTTTTTTTTGTCTAGACGTTTCTCTACAGCATGTATCCATATCTTTCCTATTTTCAATTATTTATTTATTATTTTTTTTTTGTCTCAAACGATTTCCTAACCTTTATTTAAATCCCCAATAACAGAATATGATGATAATAAAGAGGCTTCTCCTTTTTCCGCTTTTTCCCTAAACGGCTTCCATTGTTCTTTCTACTTTTTTCTTCTCCCGGCGGCCTAGTTTCTTTCCTTAAATATGGGTATTTGATTATTAAAAATGAAAATTCTGTCCATTTTCTATTCTTCTCTCGGAGTTTCTAAAAGGAGATTGCTATTTGTGGCCCTAAAAATCCTTATTCGTCGCCCTAATTATGTTAAATTTACTCTAATATCCTTAGTTTATTTTTTTTCAAACACTTAAACCCTAAAACAAACGCATACACCCACTAGAGGACGGAGCCGGCGACCTCAACGGAGGCCTAATCATCGTCATTATCACCATATGAAGAAGAGGAGAAGATCAGAAGGTATTCACATATTAGTTTACTAAATAAATCACACATTAATTATAATTACAATGATAATGATAATCAATATTAATTAAGAAAATAAAACAAACGACATGCTCAAACCCTTCTCACACGTCGCCGATGGGATGAGGACAGCAACCATGAAAATCAGCGACCAACCATGAAAACCAACGGTGGCGGGGAGAAGACTCTTGCGGTAGCAACAGTGACGGGGAGAGACTCCTGGCGGCAGCAATGGTGATGGGAAGCGACTCCTGTCAACAGTTGCGGCAGGCCGGCAGCGGGGAGTGAATCCGGCAGCAGGTCAACTCTACAGGAGCAGTTCTTTGGTCGGCGGCAGACCAATTATGGATTGGACGACGGTTTTTCTCCGAGATGAGAGTCCGGTTTGGGGTTGGGGACGGATTGTTTGCTACGATTTAGTTAGGGTTTGAAATTGGGGGTATATGTGTCAATTTAGTGTGGTTTCGCTTAGGCACGCCTAGGCACAAGGCAATGGCAAAACGTCTCGCCTAGGGGTTTCACGTCTAGTTATATAATGAAACACTTCAATGGAGTAAGGGTACATCTAAGTCTCTCCTAAGACAGAATAAGAAACATATGTGGGTTTACTTTTTTTGAGAAAATATTTTGACTTTAGTTAGAGCAAGGAATTCGTATGGTCGCCAATGCTCCTCCTCCGTCACTCCATCATGATTCATCAATCTCCCTAGTTTCAACCGCCTTCTACCACCGTTCTGTTCCGCCGCAGACTAAATCAATCTGCCCCACTCCTCTGCCGCTAGTCCATATTTGTACTCTTCTGTAAACAAAAGCCCTAAAAGCTACTCGGATTTGGCGTCCTCAACCATTCTACACCATCATTTTCATTCAAGTCGAGGTCGGGTCCGGGGATGTTGCACGACGACAAGAATCACGGGCATTGGTCGCTGATCTCTGCCGTCATTTCTATATGGTCAGTTCAGTTTACGACGCCGGGGCATCATCATCGATTGGGTTTCCATCTGGCCGCGAGTTCTTGCTTCTGGCTCGATTCGACCTCATTGATTATGGAAGCCGATGCCGTGGAGCTTGATTTATGGAAGCCGACGCCGTGGAGCTTGATTTACCATCACCAATGGCAGAACCCTTGTCATTCAATCCAGCTGTAATTAGGGTGGCATAACCCTTTTCACATACAACAAAATGACTATATTCACTTTTCAATTGCCCCTCTTCAATGGCCAACGCGGGAGCCCATGACCGATTCGACCCTGAGACAACTAATATGGAAGCACACACCGTACAAATGGCAAGCTCCCTCTTTTGATTCGACCCGGAATCGGTGCCGTCACCGCCTTGACTATCATCTTCGGACGAGGATTCCATGGAGGAAGAAGTTGTTTCTTCTCACCTTCTTCTTCAGTCGTTCAGTTGGGGGTAAAGAAACGGCCTCATCTCGGGGACGGCGGCGGAGCGGAAGGTTGGGGAAAACCCTCTTCTCAATTGGTTGCGGCAACCCCAAAATGTGATGAGTTTTATTTTCTTTTTTGTTTAATTAAAAATTCCATCTCAAGCCTTTTTCAGCCCAGTCAGCACTCTCGTTTGCCACGTCATCAAAAATTTGACGACGTTAACGGAGTCTGACGGTCGGTGACTAGTGGTGAAGCAATTCATAAAGTTAGTGGCTAATAAGAAAGAAAAGTAATTCGGGTGGCAAAAGTGAAATATTTATGCAATTTGAGTGACCAATCGTGTAATTTAGCCAATAAAACTATAAGCAAGAGCTTGGTTGTAGTGACCTTGAAGGAGAGCCTATATATGGGTAGAGCTATTACTGATTCGAGTCGAGTCGAGCTTTGCCATAGTTCGGGCCGACTCGTTAATATATTTTCAAGCTCGACCTCTGCTCGTGTTCGTCACGAGTTTTAATATGCAAGTTCGAGCTCGACTCATTTATGAAAATGAAAGCTCGATCTCGATTCGAGCACGGCTTGTCAAATAAGTTTAACAAGCCCAAAATCGAGTTAAGCTCATAAAATGTTCATAATAATTCAAGATTGACCTAGAACTTTGCACAAAATTACATCCAAACCTATAGCAAAGTCTAGCAAAATAAAACACAATATTTATACCAATTTCAATACATAATATCCATGAATTCTAATATTTTCTTATGCCAAACGGTTAAATGAGCTTGTTCGCAAGCTTTCGAGCTGAACATGGCATGGCTCGAGTTCGACTCGTTTAGTTAACGAGCTTGTTCGCGAACCGGCTCGATTAAGACGAATCGAGTGTTGAACGAGTTTTTCTCGAGTCGTACGCCGAACCGTTCATGAGCGGCTTGGTTCATTAACAACCGTATATATATATATGTGTACAGCCGTACATGATTTGGTAATTTACTTTTGCTATCGTTATGGGGACCAACTGGAAGAAGCTGAGCGGGGAGAACGATTGGGCTGGCCTGCTGAACCCGCCGCTACCTCATCCACTACGCGGCGCGGGCCCAGGCCATGTACGACGCCTTCAACGACGACAAGCTGTCCACGAGGTACGACTTTATACTAAAAAAAAGGCCTTATGAAAAGGTTCCATAACAAATATTAATTTTTTCGGAATATTTTTTAGCAACGCTTTTTTTCAAGGGTTCTAAACCCTGGCTAACTCTTAAACCAAATTTCAAGGGTTAATAACATTTCATACCCTTCTACTATTGTCAATTAAAAAATGTACCATTATATTAATTTTTTGCACGAACATACTCTTTTAATATTGAAATGTAACGATTATACCATTTCATCCAATTTTTTGTTAAATGGTCATTTAATGGACTATAAAACGACCTTATTACCCCTCATTAACTTCTAATTGATTTAAATAATTTTTATTCGGGTAAATTACAAGTTTGGTCACTCAAATTACTTAATAAGTTCACGTTTGCCACTAAAATTAATTTATTCCATCTGTAGTCACTTAAATTAGCTCAACAATTCAAGTTTGATCACTCTCCATTAGTCTCCGTTAACTTTAGCTGACGTGGCAGTCAACTCTGAAAGTTGACCGTTAAATAAGTCACATGGCAATTAAAAAATAATAAAATAATATTTTTCTTTTTATCTTTTTCACCTCATTGTAACCGTCATTAAAAACTAAAAAAAGAAAAACCTAAGAGCTTGGGGTTAAGTTCCTCTGCCCCAGCACGCCGTCGGCTCCAACCTTTCCCTCACTGATGATGTCCCACCCAGCGAGCGGCCGGAGCTCCAAATCCGGTCCACGAAAAAGAATGAGGAGGCGACAAGGATGGTTAGGGGTGAGACAACAAAGGGGTAGGGATTTGTGAGTAGTTGCGGCAGCGCAGTCGGGACTTGAAGAAGAAGAAGATGGGTGTGGCAGTGGGATCGAAGGACAGATGGAGCAAAATATTCCACCCCCATTTCAAGTAACTCAGCATCTGTGTTATGCTTCCCACCACTTCGTCAGCAAGACTTCATGGCGTCGGCGCCGGGACGAGTCGGGATAGCTCAGGTAGCCGGAGCATAGCGGCACTTGAACTCTTTAAGAATTACGAACAAAGGAAGTAATTGATGGGCAACTTATCAAGAAGTGAATGAATTTATGCGAACCAAGTAATTGAGGGGATAAGCAGAGGAAGGAAGGGGTATGGGTGGTGCGGAGGGGTCGAATTTATTCGGGAACAACAGAGAGGATTCCACCCCGGGATTGGTAGTGGCAGTCCGACGAAGATGACGAAAATCCCCGGATGTCCAGACGTTTAATCCAACACAGAGCAGAGAGCCTTCCATAGCCAGGCTTCCTGGAAGCGATGGAGTGCAGTTGGCAGTGGCCGCTCCGCCGCCGCAGCCGATAAAGGCGAAGTTGGTTTTGGGTTTGGGGTTCTGGGAACCACGAGATGGTGGGTATTCAATTGGTAGTTATAATTAACTTTTGTTTAATTTATTTTTATTTATTGTTAGATTGAGGTGGAAATTATAAAGATTAATTTTTATTATTTTTTAATAGTCACGTTACTTATTTAACGATCAACTTTCAGTGTTGACTGTCCCGTCAGCTAAAATTAACGAAGACTTAACTGAGAGTGACCAAACTTGAACTGTTGAGCCAATTTAAGTGATTACGGATGGAATAAATTAATTTTAATGACAAATGTGAACTTACTAAATAATTCAAGTGACCAAATTTGCAATTTACCTATTTTTATACCTAAACCAATTTGATTAATAATTAAAACCTACATAGCTATGGACGCCTCTTGCCCTTTTCCCCGGCAACAACAGCATGAACGACCACCAGTCCTGCCGAACCATTGGGTATTATCACTATCGCCGCAACTGCCGTCACAGACTCACAGTCGCCAGCAGCGCAGCGGACGTGAGAGCAGCCGACAATACGACGGCTACTACCTTCTCCAACAGGCTTAGCAGCCCCCGGCTCCTGCGCTCTTTTAGGCCCAGTCATCATTTTGTTACCATGCCGAACCCTCAACAAATAATATTGAGAATTCATACCATATGTAATATATATGTAATAATAATATGTGTATATTTCATTGCATAAAAAACAAATTTTATTAACTGCTATATGCAATATATATGTTTATCTTACATAATAATTATAGAACACTGTGTTATATAAAATACAAAGTCATTACGCAATATATATTGTCTTCTTCATGAATTTTACAATGCCTTAAAGTATTGATGCTTTAGTTTTTGCCTTTATAATACAACTTGAAGTTGTACCTTTCACGATATGGTACAACTTTAGGTTGTACTTATACTTATTTATAAAATTTCTTGATGATACAAACTAAAGTTGTGCCTTTATGTTATCATACAACTTGAAGTTGTACCATTAGATAAATGTTAAATTTCTTTAATTGTTAATAAGTAATAACTTATGGGTTTTTTTACCTAAGGAATAATAATGTGTAGTCGATCTCTTAATTTGATACCTTTTTCCTATGGTGCTACTCCAACAACCTGTGAAAAGAGAAAAGTTCAAAATCTATGTTTAAAATTAAATTAACATACACTTGGATTAATGGTATGAAAGGAGAATAAAAGCCACGATGGATGGGGTTAGACCTGGCAATCGAGTCGGGTTGGGGACTTCGGTTACGGGTCGGGTCATGTTTGGTTGGCTGATTTCGGGTCAAATATTAACCCAACCCATTCGGATTTGGGTCGGGTTACAGGTAATTTCGGGTTATGATCATTCTCAGAAACAATATCAAACATGCTTCATATTTTCTTAAAGAACACAAATTTTCACATATGCATAACAATAGTTTACCTAACACATGTCAATTAACATATTCTCAAATCCTTCCACATAATGAAATGAAATACAAATTGCGCAAATCGTCAAAAAAAAATCACAAGAGTAATACTACTACAAAAAACACATAATATTTGATTATCCTTAAACTCCAAACATGTCATTCAAATCCTTGTGATTTTTTTTAAACATCTCACCAATTTATGAGTGATTTTATCATTTTGGGAGTGATATATAAAATGGAACGGGTCTAACGGGTCGACCCGCTAACCCGCCCAACCCGACCCAAAAAATCACAGGTTATCGGGTTCGGGTCATTCGGATTTCGGGTTACAATAATCTCTAATTTTTGGGCGGTTTCGGATCGGGTCAACTGATCGCCTATAAAAAAAACAAAACAGAAGGTTAGAAAATTACCTTCTCACTACTCTAGATTCATGTCAGGGCTGTCAAAAAACCCTAGGGGTGGCCACATTATCAGTCTGCCCCTCTTTTTTTTAAGAATTATTCTGGACCATTAGATAGGAGAAGTATAGGTGTCAAAACATAACCCGACCCGATTAACTCGACCGCAACCTGAATTGACTAAAAGTCAACAACTCGTAAACCGCCCGACCCGCAATCCGATTGACCCACAACCCGATAAAACCCGAACCCGATTATCCCAAACCCGACTAACCCGTAACCCAACCGACTCAACCCGAACTTCATCTAATCCACTTGAATAATTATTATATTATACAGTACATAGTTTTTCAAAATAAAGTTTTTCATTCTAAACTTAGGTAAAATTTATATTTCATTTTGTATAGGGAATTTAAAAAATATGAAACTCACGTGATATTATGTATTTTAAAAAAATTGTAAAAATTGAAACATGAACGTCACTTGAACACTAAGTTCTTTAACAAAATTAAAAAGGTAAATATAAAATATAAAATCAACACAATGTCAATATTAATAAGGAAGAATTAATAATTGAGATCATGGAAAATATTAATATAATATATAAATTAAAATTTTGGTTAATTTAATTATTCAATAAAATTATCAATTACATATAAATAAAGTAAATTAATGTATTTGATAATTTTAAAATAAGAGGTAAATTTTGGTGTATTCAACGTTTTGGGAAGAGAAAGAAGAGGGAAATTGGTTCTTCGAATTTATGAGTAAAGAAACAAGGGGGGATTTTGGTGGTTTTGATTTGTGGGAAGAGAAAGAAGTGAGAAAGTTTGGTTCTTTTGATTATGACAGAAAAAACAAGGAGGGAAGTTTTGAGTTTTCAACTTTTTGTGTAAGGAAGAAAGAAAAAAGGGAAATTTGGTTATTCAATTTGATGGAAGAGAAAGAGCATAGAAATTTGGTTCTTTCAATTTTATGGAAGAGAAAGAAGAGGGAAAATTGAGTGTTTCTAATTTATGAAATGAGAAAGGAGGAAAATTTTAGTATTTTAATTTTTTTTGTGAAAAGAAAGAAGGAAATAAATTTGGTGTTTTCAACTTTTTGGGTTTTCAAAATTTTAGCCTTTGAAGTATGAATCTTTAATTTTTATATGGAGGCATGACTAGTTAAACTTGGCATGTTAAGTCATACGATTGCAAAAACTCAATCAGGTTGCGGGTTTGAAAATTTTGGTTAATCGGGTTGCGCTCTTGCGGGTCACTTTGGAATGGGAAATGAGAGGGAGGTTTGGGTGTGAATTTTGGAATGAAAAATTTATGGGTGGGTGAATATGAGCCAACAATTATACTAAACTTGATAAGTAATCTTTGACGGTTCGTTGTTTAAGGTATAAAGTATATGGTTAGGCAATAGGGTATAAGGTACAAATGGTTTAGGGTATATATGGTTAGAGTATAAGGTATTCTTGATTTTGACGGTTTTCAGTTTTTTATTAACATATTTCCACTTGAAGTCATTTGAAGTCTTTAACGGTAGGAGATCCATTTTTAATTTATGTTTATGGTACGTAGTTAGGGTACATGGTATGTGGTGTAGAGTATAAGATATATGGTTAGCGTATAGCAATTAGCAAATATTTCATCTGTGTTTTGAAAATCAAAGTATGAGTTTCACATTTAAATTAACTATACTAGCAAAATCACAACTCATAAGGACATATGGTTAGGTTATACGGTATGTGGTTAGTGTACAATGTATTGATGGTTTAGAGTATACGATCAACAACATACCCTAACTTAATATTGTCGATTGAGGGTAAGGCTAAGTGTATAGGATATATGTTATTGAGTAAATTATAATTGAAGTCATAACATATTTACTAAATTTGATAGTTAATCTTTAGTGGTTCAATTTTTAGGATAATTCGAACAATTTTACAAAAACTTGTAAGGAAACAGTTTACTAAAGTTGTTTGGGCAATAAGTTATTTCGAAATAATCTCTTTTATCACTCTGCTTTTGCCAAATACCACACACCAAACACCAGATTTGCATGGTTATACTAAACGAGATACTTTAATCCAATTACTACTTAAATAATACTAAAATATCAAATAAATAATTAATGGTGTCTTTTGGTTGCGAATGTTGATATCACCATTACTATTAGCTAGTGTACTTTCCCAATTACGATTAATTACATAACAAGTTTGCAAGTCATACAAATTGATTCAACATTTTGACTAGTTTTTTTAAATTAAGTTTGTATATACGAGGTAGAAAGAAATTGGTCAAAAAGTTGAGAAAATATTTTAAATTAGTGTAATAAAATGTGTAAGTTGGTAACGAGTAATGAGTAAGTTACTCGATGCGCTGACCCGAACAACCCGCGACCCGATCCGCCCACAACCTGCCCGACCCAAAATCTGATGAACCCGCAACCCGATTGAACCCAAACCCGATGAACCCGCAACCCGACTAATCCGCAACCTGATTGAACCCAGCCCGAACCCGCCTGAACCTTCCCGATTGACACTATAAGGAGAAGGGATGGATGGTGGATGATGGGATTTTATAATAATTTTGTAGATAGGAGTTTTGTACCTCATCTCTTCCTGTCAAACGTTATTGTGGTTTTATTATTTACAAGTTGGGCTCAATTAAGATAGGTCATAACCAAGACCTTTAGATCATCAAATTTGGGCCCTTAGTTTTGAGTAGGGGCAGAAGGGTTAGATCTAAAGGGTGAGAATTATTTGGTTTTTTTTTTTATTTTTTCTAGATTTTTTAATTGACTCTTATCTTTTTCGTTCTCATTTGGATTTTCAAATATTTTGCATAAGTGGAACATGTTCATTGTGCTTTACAAATTAGATCCATTATCAATATATTTCGTCAAATTTTTTTACCACATTCACTTTTACCATCATGATTTATTGAATTCACAAAGTTTTGGGGAAAAAATATAAGACCAAACTGTATCACTCCATACCACACTGATATAGGGGTGGTAACTGGTGGTACAGAATGATTTATGTGGTAAATGATAGTTCCATACCACGTGGTATGATTTTATGTAATACCAAGCATATTTCCACCCATTGGCAGAGGCAAGCCCTTTGGGCCTTGTCTCGGGACAGAGATAGATTTCGGAGGAACAAAAATACGTCGTGTATATTTATATTGGTGATGGAATCATGGAACACAACCCCTATATGTAGTATTAGAGTATTTTGTCACTACAACACAACTCATTACTTGTTCAAAAATTGACATTAAATTAATTTATTATACTATAAACGAAATTCCAATTGCAACAAAGGCCTAATCGGATCTCTTTTATCCTTATGCCTGTTTGATCTTTTTCCTTACAACTCTGAAATTGTCTAGCGACAATGGCAATTACACTAGTTTTGATGATACCAATTACAACTAAAAGTGTAAAAAGAGCATTTTAAGCTTTGAGTTATATTAAAAACATGTTTCCAAGTCGATTTGACGAACAATTTGCTAATGCTTGTTTAGTGATATACATTGAAAGAGACTTATTTAATAATGTAGACAATGATTTTTTTTTTTTTTGCGTTTCTTTCAGAATATGAAATCCCTTTTTGGTTGTTTCTGAAAACTTTGATTGTATAGTCGGTTGTTAATTTATGAATGAATTATTTGGATATAATCATTTTAATTATTTTTTATTAAATAATTCTTAATTAGATACTCATATATTTAAGTTATGAAAAGAGGACATGGGTGGTTTAAAATGCTGCCTCTGCCACTGGTACCACCATGATATTGAATGGTACTAAATATCTCAATTTTAAATGTTTCAAAATATATTAAAGTGGATATCATTTTAAAGAGTACAATTGATATGATTTATCAACAAAATTAATTTACAACTTAATATGAAACATATATAACGTGTTAAAACTTGTAAAGAAAATAGTTAAGACAGCTTCTATAGATTATGATGTGATAGTGATGTAACACGTTACGAAAGGATTATTGATCATAAAAGTGAACCCTCCTACAATCTCGAAGGGTGGGAGTCATGCAAAGGTTGCCAGCCTGGAAGGACAAAGATACGTATATCTGGCAGCAGACTGTCATTTCTTTTATATGAGGACACGTATCCCCATGTACTCCAGTCATTGCACAGCTGCGCCCAATTTAATTTCTTAATCGCTAAATGTCGCCCTTAAAATTGCTAACGGTCGCCCTAACTCTAATGATAAATAACTTATATACCCCCCAATAAAATTTCAAAATTTAAACAAACCAAACAATCCCTAACCCCTCAAAACTGAACCCCTCATCTGCCTTCTTCGCGAATCCCTCTCGACGCACCAGTTCGTCGGCGTCGCCCTTTCTCTTTCCAAAAAAAAAACGCTCAACCTAAGGTAAGTTATGGTTGGTCCATGGTGCAACCGCAGCTCACTTGCGGTTGCACCATGGTGCAACCACAAATGAGCTACGGTTCCCTTTATTTGTTTTTTTTTTTCAATTTTTTTTAGTGAACTTTACTGATTCAGAGTCGATAGTCATGATCCAGACATCATATCGACGATTCCGACTCTAGAATGACGATGATGTTTTTTAGGGCGACATTTAGCAATTTTAAGGACGACCTTTAGCAACTCCCTTTAATTTACACCCCAACCACACACATTACATACATACGATACGAGGTCAAATAATATTTACTGGACTTAACTGCGCACATCACATTAATTATTTCCTATGATTTAATTTCTGTCGAAATGTAGGTCATGGCAGCCTTTAGGCAATTAGTCGCTCTATCAGTAGGGAGAAAACTTACGCGTGCAGTGAATAACGCAACGCCCGAGCGCAGATGGAAGTCCGCTCTCCTCGATCGCCTCCATCGCCCAGCTTCCACCCCTGCCACAAGATTGCATTGCAATTGCACCCTCTTATGTGAAAGATCTGGGAAAGAGAAACAGAGTACAAGAAAAGTTTAAACGTTTACATCCGGGCAGTGGTCGACCCTACCCGGGGTATAAATAGTGAAGTTGGTGGAGCTCATTTACTCAGGTTCAAACTTCTCTCTAAAACTACACTTCACTTCTCTCTCTAAAAAGATTGTTCTAACTTGGGCGTCGGAGTGCTAACGAGCCCCAAGTAAGGGGTTCGGTGGGCGTCTTCGTGTGCAGGAGTGAGGCGCGAGGCGGGGACTAGTCCAGATTAGGAGGGGCGCCTTGGTCATTGGGGGCGTCGGGTTACTTGGCATATACAATTTGCGAAAGGGGTCATGGAAGAAGCGGTGGAGACTGGAGGAGAAAGAAACCGCGCCTCGAACGAAGCGGGGTCGGACGAGGCGCCACGCTTGTCAGAGGAGGTGCAGGGAGGAGAAGGCGAAGCGCAAGAGACAGTCCAATCAGAGGGCGTCACGCTCACCAAGGAGCACTTGATTCTTATAATCGAGGACAAGACCAGGCGCTTGAGGCGTTGAGGAAAGAAGTGGAAGCTCTGAAGAAGGGAGGGGAAGTCGCGCCTCATCCCAGCGGAAGGAAGAGAGAGAGACGAGGACGAAGAGGGTATGTCCAGCGCTCTAAGGAGCACGGAGGAGTTAGGTCATCTGACCCGGCACATGGCGCCGGACCACGACGAGCATAACGGGTGGGTGCCCAGGCGCCTCGGGCGGCCCTGGAGAGTTAGGCAACCGTTGGCGCGAAGCATTTTAGCGGAGCAGGCCAATTCGGTCATACCAGCGCTTCCTAGCTATGATGGAACGGGCGATCAGGAAGACCACCTGAACAACTATTTCACCAAAATGCAGCTGTACAATAGCTCGGACGCCACGTTGTGCCGCGCCTTATCGTCAACGTTCGTTGGCGTGGTGCTAGACTGGTATCATCAAATTGAAAAGGGGAGGATCGACAGCTTTCAGCAATTTGCGGCGATGTTCCTTTCAAAGTTCGCTAGCCGGAAGCGCAGGAGCCTAACGATTAGCGCATTGTCCAAGGTCAGGCAGCGCAAAGGCGAGGCGCTCTGGGACTTCTACGAACGATGGATGTCGGTTGCGATGGCAGTCAAAGATGTAAAGCCCCCGGTCCTGGGGTGTTGTTTGGACGAGTGCACCACTAGTGAGGAGCTTTGTCGGGCGTTGTCGAAGCGGGACGTTGTGTCCACGGAGGATTTGGACCGCAGTGTGCAGAAAGTCATAATGTTGGAAGAGACATTGGCCGCAAGGAGGATAGAACGAAGAGAGTCACGCCCCGAAGAGACGAAGGGGTCGAGGGTGCCCCGAATGTCTCACGTCACACAAAATACTCAGAGCTACCCTCAGAATGTTCGCCGACCGAGCCGCATCGCTTCGTGTCACGGAGTGCGGCAAACTTCACCAAACTCAACGACTCTCTGAAAAACGTCCTGCAGTACGCGAGGGACAAGGGGCACCATCTCCGCTGGCTGGGCCCCATGAGAGGGCGCCCCAACGAGCAGAAATTGGATAGGTTCTGCGAGTTGGGGCACCACACGGCCGACTGCTACCAACTCAAGTCAGAAATCCAGGGGTTAGTGGATAGGGGAATGCTGAACGAATTCGTGAAGAAGGGGGAGGATAAGGCGCAGCGAACCTTCATGGCGCAGGAGGAGAAAGCAGAGGCGCCTCAAGGGAGCGTCCGCGAGAGTGGAACCGCTCTCGGAGAGAAAGAGGTGCCGAAGGAAGGAAGAGAATTAACGCCCCCCCCCCCCCCTCCAGCACGATTGACCTGAGGCAGAAGTTCGAGGAGGGAAGGCGGCTGAAATCAGCCACCGCCAGCGCGCGCGCCGCCATGCGGATTCACTTCAAAGAGGCGCCTGAGGAGGCGTGTCGGGTTCCATCAGTAGAAGCTTTGGAGATCAGAGGAGTGGTGGCCGGGTGCGAGGTGAAAAGGATGCTAGTGGACACAGGGAGCTCAATGAATGTGTGTTCCGATCCACTTTTGAGAAGATGCAACTGTCGCCTAGTATTGTGAGGCCGGCTGACACGGTCCTGGTAGGATTTTCAGGGGTGCCAGCGCGAGTTGTGGGGCCAGTGAGTCTACCCATGATGCTAGGAGAGGAGGAGCACAGGGTCACGCATATCGTGGACTTCGGCATCGTAGATTGTCCTTCCAACTACAATGCCATCCTGGGACGCCCACTCCTAGCTCTCTTCAACGGGGTGGCGTCGTCGTGCCACCAGGTCCTGAAGTTCGTCACTCCGAAGGGAGTAGGGGTATCTAGGGGTGAAGCGTCGCAGGAAGCTCGCCTTGTCAAAAGGATGCGGATGTACAATATAGATGTGTGACTCACTTCTACTGTCACTCTAGGAGTTGGCCAAGTGTAACCACTTCCTAAAGTGTAGTATAGCGGGTTTGGGTTTTAATGTCAACCCGGGTCCTAGATTTGATGACTACTCGGTGAATTCTTGTTACTTAGCAATGAAACTTTAATGCAAGTCTAAACTAACAAACAAGCAAAGCAACTAAATGGTTGTTTTCAGGTTAAGAGAGGTCACCCGGATATGGTTCCTCCTAGACTGCAGTTAAGTCGGATTGCAATTACCAAGTTCAATTTCTATGAGAGTTATACTGCGGAAGGTTCTTAAGCAGTCTGAAGTCTCGACTAAAGGTCTACAGACCCTCTCAATCTGAGTCTCTAGCGGGCGACTAACCTCCACCGGAGTAAACAGATTAAGGCCCTAACGAACAAAACCTCCACTACCGAAGTGAATTCGGTACAGAATAGTGAGTTGGCTCCTCGACTAAAGTCACCGACTCCCTACCTTCAATCAAGGATGCTCTATCAATCTAGGCAGATATTCTCATTCTAGGTTAAAGCAGAAACAACAGGAATTTGATCAGGATTCATGCCATTCAATCATTCAAACCTCAATTGAATATAATCAAATCATAGAATCAGTACTTGGGTTCATACAATCAAACCTAACATACAAATCTAAGGTTTCCCATACCCAGATGAATGGGAGAACTACTCCATGGAGAAAGAAGCAAAAGCAGATTCAGACGCGGAAATCATACTGTGAAGGATGGATTTCTGCTCCTGGACGTTGATCGGCACTCCTTCAAGCTCAAGCCAAGCTCCAATGGTGATGAAGATCAAGCTAGGGCACTTGGGAACTCTTGTTCGTCGCTTTCTCTCTCTAGGAATTGCTCTGTCTCTCTAAAACTCGAATCTTCTTCTGTTTTGGCTGAAATCTGCCTAAAAGGGCATCACTAGGCAAAACACGGTCGAGGGCACGACCGTGTTCTGCTCCAGCCCGCCCGTGCCCTTGCCGAGTGTTAAATACACGGCCAGACTTTTGGGGAAAACACGGGCATGCTTTTGGTGGACACGGCCGTGTTCTGTCTCAGTCCTGCCCGTGTTTTGAGCTAGTGTTTGACAGACTCAGATCAAGTCTCGGCAGTAAAAACACGGTCTAGGAACACGACCGTGCTTTGATTTAGGCTTGCCCGTGTTTTGGCTCTAGCTCGACCGAATGTCCCGTGTTTTGGCTCCAGCTGGATGGTGTCCTCAGAACGACCCATCGCATGCATGAACCAGAGTGTCCGGAGTGTGACCTGGTTGGATGAGCCTTTGCTGGGTGTGTAGGACTGGGTGAGCAAGTGGTTGAGGATCCGCCACTCCGGACGGAGGAGAGAGGCCCGCGTCTGGCTGGCAACGTACTGTTCATCCACATTGTTCGGCAGGCAGATTCGCTGGAAGTAAGCCTAGGAAGCAAAGTCGGTGGGATCAGAGAGGTCCAAGCGTAGGGGCCGGTCGCTAGAGTGCGGGGAGTTGAGCCTAAGTGCATTGGCGAACTCCCAGTAGCTGAGGGAGTACTCCACCTCGCCGAGTGTGAATTGAACCGCATCAGCATGGTCGGCGGACCCCTTCGAGGAATGGTGGAAGGAAGCGTAGAACTCCCAAACAAGCTCCTGGTAGGTCGGCTCGGCGAGGGTGAGAAGGCGCCTCCAACCATAGGGGCGAACCACGGCCTCCATCTGCGGCCTGGCATGAAGCGCCTCGAACACCTCAAAATCGAGGTGCAGGTGCTCGGCAATGGTGCGGTTACGAAGGTTCCGCAGCAGATGGCGCTGGGTGATGCTCAGCTGGTCGAGGTAGGCTTCCATGATCCTGCAAAGCACAAGGAAGTACAAATGGTACACAAGCGAACAGGGTCAATGTTAGGCCAAAAACCACACCGGGAGCCCTCATATCGAAAGATATGGACAGTGGACTAGACTCCCAGCGAAACAAGCATACCCATCACACGAGAATTACACAACAAAACACACCGGGGACCCTCAAATCAAGCGATTCGGACAGTGGACTAGGCCCCCGGTGAAACAAGCATACCAAAACCGTACTAAATAAGCACCAATCGATCCACCACACACAAAAACCACACAAGCCCGCATACAATGCAACATGCAAATGGTAGGCCGAATAACTGAAATCCCGAGGCAAAAATAGAACAAGCAAAAAGCGTCATCGGCCTACCCAATCATCCACAAATCATGCCACAATCACAAGTTCTTCACCTAACTCTAGGTATCGATTCTCCAGAAATAAAAGAAAAGACAAGGAGAACACACCTGGAGACGCAAGGAGAGACCCACGAGAGAGGTGAAGAAAGTGGAAGAAAACACCCTAAGTCGCCGGAAAACACACCGGAGACTCGCCGGAGAACTCGCCGCTTGCGACCCAACCTCGGCCAAACAAGCCCAAATCTTTGGGGAATGTGCTCCTCAACGCCAGGAGCGTGGGGGCTTTCGCGGTTTGTGATTTGGAGGTCGAGAGAGGGAGTTATGGCCGGAAAATCGAAGGAGAAGAGGAAGAGGCCGAGTTTCCGGCGAGAGGGGGGCTGGAATTTTGAAAAAAAAAATGAAACTGGTGGGTTTTAGGGCTGAAAATCGACTTTTATAGGGGGGAGAAAAAACACGGGCGGGCTGGAACACGGCCGTGTTCGGCCTGTTCCGCGCCCGTGTTTTTACTGCCGAGGCCGTGTTCAGTACCTTTGAAAACACGGGCGGGCTGGGACCAAAACACGGTCGTGTTTTGGAAGCCCATCGCCCGTGTTTTTACTGTCGCGAGCAGTGCAGGCCGAATTCCAAAACACGGCGGGCAGGGGGCAAAACACGGCCATGTTTTCGTCCCCTGGCGCCCGTGCTTTTAGTGCCGAGCCCAAACTGCCTTTTTTCAAAATTCCAATTTCAAACCACCAAGACTCATTCGTGCCCCGACTCTAAAATTTACCCAATCACACATTAAAAAGAACCGCCGGAGGCACGAAAAACTTTCCAGACAGACTCCAGACAGACTCAAAGACTCAAAAACCGACAAAAAAAATGAAATAAATAAAAAAACAAAGGTTAGAAATGCAAACCGTGGTAGGGTTGCCTCCCCATAAGCGCTTCTTTACCGTCTTTTAGCTGGACGCCCATGGCGGAACTAAGGGTCCGCGAAGTCCACTGCCAACTCCGCACGTTCGACCTCGCCTCCCAAGTAGAGTTTGAGACGATGGCCATTCACTTTAAATGGTTCAGTCTGCGGGTTGGCAATCTCGATCGTGCCATACGGGAACACCTGTGTGACCGTGTACGGTCCAGGCCACCGAGAACGGAGTTTTTCGGGAAAGAGTTTCAGGCGAGAGTTATAAAGGAGAACTCGATCACCAACCTGGAACTCTTTCGGACCCCGCAACCGTGCATCGTGCAGGCGCTTAGTGCGCTCCTTGTACAGCTTGGTGTTCTCATAGGTGTGATAACGCCACTCCTCCAGCTCCAGCATCTGCAGTTTGCGCTCAACACCTGCAACACTAATATCCAAGTTTAGCAGCTTAAGGGCCCAGAAGGCCTTGTGCTCTAGCTCCACGAGCAAATGGCATGCCTTTCCATAGACAAGCCGGTACGGTGAGGTACCAATGGGCGTCTTGTAGACAGTGTGGTATGCCCATAGAGCATCATCGAGCTTGGTGGACCAATCTTTGCGGGATAGATTCACCGTCTTCTCCAGGATACGCTTGAGCTCCCGGTTCGTCAGCTCGGCCCGACCACTTGTTTGAGGATGGTAGGCCACGGATACCTTATGAGTTACACCATAGCGAGACAACAATTTATTGAACTGACCCTGCAAATGGGTGCCTCGGTCGCTTATGATGGCTCTAGGTGTCCCGAACCGGGAGAATAGCTGTTTCAGAAAACTACAAACACGTCTAGCATCATTAGTGGGCAAAGCTTGCGCCTCAGCCCACCTAGAGACGTAGTCAACAGCAACAAGGATATAGGTATTGCCAAAAGATGGAGGGAAGGGGCCCATGAAGTCGATACCCCAAACATCAAAAATCTCACAAGTTATAAACACATTCTGGGGCATCTCATCACGGACAGAGATGTTACCTGATCTCTGGCATCGGTCGCACCTGCGTGCGAAGGCGTCTGCGTCCTTGAAGAGCGTGGGCCAGTAAAAGCCCGATTGGAGCACCTTCCTCGCCGTGCAGTTCCCTCCGTGGTGACCGCCAGTAGGTCCTTCATGACAATGAGATAGAATGCCCTCCATCTCACTCTCCATAACACATCGACGGATGATCCCGTCGGCTCCGATCCTGAAGAGATGAGGGTCATCCCAGAAGTAGTGCTTCAGGTCGGAGAAGAACTTCCTCTTGGTGTGAGTTGTCATCCCCTTGGGCAGCTGCTGGCCCACAAGATAGTTCGCAAAATCAGAATACCGGGGGTGACACTCTCCACCAGGCACATCATCATCAGTCGCTCATCTGGGAAGGAGTCGTGGATCTCCTCCTCGAGGTTGTCCGCAGGGGGTGCGTCCAACCGGGAGAGGTGATCGGCTGCAACATTCTCCGCTCCCTTCTTGTCCCGAATCTCAATGTCAAACTCCTGCAGCAGTAAGATCCATCGTATGAGCCTAGTCTTGGCATCGGCCTTGCTCATCAGGTATTGAATCGCGGAGTGATCTGTATACACGGTCACATGGGACAAGACCAGATAAGGACGAAATTTATCGAAGGCAAACACCACTGCGAGCAGCTCCTTCTCCGTGGTGGTGTAGTTCTCTTGGGCATCATTGAAAGTCTTCGAGGCGTAGTAGATAGGTCGAAAGTGTTGATCTCGCCTCTGCCCCAAGACAGCTCCAACAGCAAAGTCACTGGCGTCGCACATCAGCTCAAATGGCAGGGACCATTCAGGAACAACCATGATAGGAGCTTGGGTGAGCTTCTCCTTCAAGGTCATGAAGGCCGCTGTGCATGCATCAGTAAACTGGAAGGGGGCATCATTCTCAAGAAGCTTAGTCAGGGGTAGGGCGATCTTCGAGAAATCCTTGATGAACCGCCTGTAGAACCCTGCATGACCTACAAAACTCCGGATCCCCTTAACAGATGCAGGAGGAGGCAGCTTGCTGATAGTCTTGATCTTCGCTCTGTCCACCTCAATCCCCATCTTGGAGATCTTATGCCCAAGAACTATGCCTTCTCGAACCATGAAGTGACACTTCTCCCAACTCAGTGCCAGGTTCGTTTCTTCACACCGTTTAAGGACAAGCTCCAGGTTATGGAGACAGTGAGAGAATGAGTCTCCATAAACCGAGAAATCGTCCATAAACACCTCCATAATCTCGCCGACCAGACGGTCAAAGATGGCGAGCATGCATCGCTGAAAAGTGGCCGGGGCATTGCATAGCCCGAATGGGATCCTCCGGTAGGAAAAGGTGCCGAAGGGGCAGGTGAAAGTGGTCTTCGCCTGGTCCTCCGGTGCAATAGGGATCTGGAAGTACCCGGACATCCCATCCAGGAAACAGTAGAACTCGTGCCCCGCCAGTCTCTCCAGCATCTGGTCAATGAATGGCAGCGGGAAGTGGTCCTTCCGAGTGGCGTCGTTGAGACGCCGGTAATCAATGCAGACACGGTACCCATTCACCGTGCGCATTGGGATCAGCTCATTCTTCTCGTTAGGCACCACAGTCATCCCACCCTTTTTGGGTACCACCTGGGTGGGACTGACCCACTCGCTGTCGGAAATGGCGAAGATGATCCCCACGTCCAACAGCTTCACGATCTCTGCCCGAACCACAGCCTCCAGGTTCGGTGTCAGTCTTCTCTGCGGCTGTCTCACTGGCCGCATCTCATCCTCCATCAGTATCCGGTGGGAGCAGAAGGAAGGGCTGATCCCCCGGATGTTTGTGATCTTCCACGATAGAGCTCGCTCGTACCGCTTCAGCAAGGCCACTAGTCTGTTCTTCTGCTCGGGTGTGAGGGTCGAGCTGATGATGACTGGTAGCTTATTCCCCTCCCGGAGAAATGCATACTCCAAATGAGGAGGGAGGGGCTTAAGCTCCAGCTCTGGTGGTTCCTCCAAGGAAGTAGTGATGCGGGTGGAGGATGAGATCGGTTTGAACAACCTTTCGCCCTCCAAGAAAGGGCCACTCTCCAACTCGGCCAACTGCTCCGCCAGCTGCGGCTCCTGCGATGCCTGCTCACCTAGCAAAATACAACGCTCAAGAGCATCGTCAGTACCCGCACTCGTTATAGCGAGTGCGGTCTCAAAATCAGCAAGCACATCACAATAATCTATGTCATCATGCAAATGAGAGTGTTTCCCATTCTCAGTTACAGAGAAAGTAGCCTGTTCATTACCAGCACGCAGAATCAATTTACCACTATGCACATCAATAAGCGTCTTGGCGGTGGCGAGAAACGGTCTACCCAAAATCAAAGGTACATCCACATCCTCATTTATATCCAAAATAACAAAGTCAACAGGATATGTGAATGCACCCACATTAACAAGCAAATCCTCAATGATACCCCTAGGATGCACGATAGACCGATCAGCTAACTGAATGCTCATCCTAGTAGCTCTAGGTTCACCTAGGTCTAGCTTCTTAAACAATTTGTAAGGCATGTCATTTATGCTAGCGCCTAGGTCCGCCAAGGACTTTCCTACATGCATGCTGCCAATAACAAGAGGGATAGTGAAACTCCCTGGGTCTTTTCGCTTCTCGGGCAGCTTGTTCTGCAGGATAGCAGAACACTCCTCGCTCAGCATCACTGTCGAAAGATCCCCAAGTTTCTTCTTGTTGTTGAGGAGGTCCTTCATGAACTTGGCATACTTGGGCATCTTTGATAGTGCCTCCACGAACGGCATGCTGATGTTGACCTGCTTCAACATTGCCATGAACTTGGCAAACTCAGTCTCCAGCTTGTCTTTATGTAGGCAAGTGGGGAAAGGAAGCTGGGGTACATGCTCCTTAACCACTGGCTGTGGCTTGGGAGCATGTGTTTCTTTGTCTTCCCCCACTTCTGCATTATCAGCTGGACGTGTTGAAGCAGGTAGTGGCTCATCTCGACTGGGCTGGGCAGGAGCAGCAGATGTGGTCTTGCCATTCCTGGTAATGATGGCATCTAGCTGCTGGTGCTGGTGAGGCTCACGAGGATTCGAAATAGTGGTGGCAGGCAGAGTCCCCGGTGCCCTGGTAGTGTTTTGGCGAGCAAAGCTACCCATCTGGTTCTGCAGATCTTGCAAAATGGCACCTTGGTCCCTCTGACCTGCCTCCGGTGAGGTTATGCTCTGGTCCAACCTCGTGACAGTTGCCTGAGTGGCAGTCATGAATGAAGCTAGAATATTTTCCAGCTTCGTCATCTGGTTATCTGGAGCAGGAGATGCTGCTGGCTCGGCATACTGACGCTGGGGCTGCTGGAATGGTTGCCCCTGCCTAGGCTGGTAGGGCTGATGCTGTGGGGCTGGCCCCTATCCAGCCTGGAAAGGCTGCCTCTGCTGAAATCCACCAGCTGGTGCTGGGAAACCAGGTGGTTTAGTGGTGCTGCTGCTCCAAGAGAAATTGCGATGCTGGCGCCACCCCTCATTTTATGTATTGCTGTA